AGAGAGAGAGAGAGAGAGAGAGAGAAATGTGAAAATTTAATTAAAAGGGCTGATTAATGGAATTCAACAATGTAGTCAAATAAGTATAGGAAAAGCATAGGTGTGATCTTCATAATGACTTAATACCACTTCCATTCATGGGCTTCACCACATACTTCAAATAAAAATATTGTTTTCATTTTAATGAGTACTGAAAAAGTCTATAATAAATCTCAACACACATTCCTTACAAATACTTTTATATTATTGGTAAGTGTTTTCTTAATCATAAAGAATATTAAAGTCAAATTAATATCCAACATCATATCATTTTTTATAAAGTTAGCTAAAACAAAAATAAATGAGAATGTGCTTTATCATCATTGCTGTCTAATGCTATTCTGGAAGTTTACACCATTGTGCTAGGATATAAAATAAAAATACTTACGCAAAGGGACTGAACCTGAGAAAAATACATAAACTCGCTTTTATATGTTAAAACTCATTTAAAACATCATAGAAATATTTCTGATTTCAGTAATAATTTAAAGATGTGATGGTGGTGGTTATGTGCCGTGGAGTTGGTTCCAACTCATAGCAACCCTGTACAGGGTTTCCAGGGCTGTAAATCTTTGTTGTTGTTGTGAACTGTGGAGTCAGTTCCGACTCATAGCGACCCTGCATAGGGTTTCAGAGGCTGTAAATCTTTACGGGAGTAGAAAGTCTTTTATCTTTCTCCCATGGAACAGCTGGTAGTTTTGAACAGCTGACCTTAATGCTACCAGCCCAATTCGTAACCACTACGCTACCAGAGCTCGTTTCCAACTCATAGCGACCCTGTACAAGGTTTCTGAGGCTGTAAATCTTTATGGGAGCAGAAAGCCTCATCTTTCTCCTGCAAAATAGCTGGTAGTTTCGAACTGCTGATCTTGAGGTTAGCAACCCAATTTGTAACCGCTATGCTACCAGAGCTCCTTTATTTAAAACATAAACTACATGAAATATCCTGAACAATATATGTGAAGGAATGTTATAAGGAAAATTTCTCTGTACGGAGTCCTGGTGTGGTTCTGTGGGTTAATGAGCTAGAAAGCAAAGTCGGTTTGAACTGCAAGGTTGGTGGTTCAAGCTCACCAGTCACTGCTTGGAATCCCTCTACAGGATTGCTATGGGTCAGAACCGACTCGATGGCACTTAACGACAACAAAACTACTCTTTTTACACAGTAGAGGAATCCTGGTGGCACTGTTGGATAAGCAGTGAGCTGGCAGTTCAAATCCACTGCCACTCCCCAGAACGAAGTGAGGCTTTCTGCTCCCCAAAAGATCTACCGCCTTAGAAACAGCAGTATACAGGATCGCTGTGAGCCAGAATGGTTGGACTTGTTGGCAGTAGGTTTGGTTTGGATACACATAACCGAGAGGTTAAAAAAATTTGAGTGTGGTTATTAGGTCTGAGATCAGTTTCATATTGCCACTTTCTAAACTGTCTTGGACACTTCAGTGAACCTCTTTAAGAGTACAGTAGTTCCTTTATCCAGTAAATTCTGTTTAGCACCTACTGTGTTTATTTCAGGAGCTCTGGTGGCAACTGAAAAGTCAGCAGTTCAAACCCACCAGCCACTCCTCAGGAGAAAGATGAAGCAGTCTGCTCCCACCAAGATTTGCGGCCTCGAATTCCTATGGAGCAGGTCTTCCCTGTTCTGTAGGGCTGTGATGAGTTGGTATCGACTCAACAGCAGTGGATTTGGGGGCTTATTTGGTACCTGTGTTCCCAGTGTCAGTTCTAGTTGTGAGCAAGACCACGCCCATCCACTATGGGATTTAGGTTAATCTTCAGTGGAATAATGATATTAGAGGACAGAATGCCTTTTAATAGTGATGTGGCCTATAGTGATTGTCATATGCTTTTGCCTGGGAAATAAGAAGCTGTCTTTTTGTCTAAATAAAGGCAGATGTTGTCAAATTAAGGCAGATGTTTAATAGTAGTATAATTTAAATCTAAAATCTGCAACCTTAGGGACCACTGTGGGCAGTCAGATTCAAATGCCTCATTGGCTAAGGATATATGGGGAGACCATAACTTGCCCTTAACTCAGAGAGCCAGTGCTTTGCAGTCAAGAGACAGATTCAGAGTTCTCGGGGTCAGTTTTGTCTCATACTTCCCCCTGATTTGCAAACAGATCTGTCCCTCCCCTGCCTTTTCACACACCTGTTTAGCTGGATGGGCCCTGGTACACAGTAGGGATTCTTTAACCTTTGCATTACTTGTCCAGTGCTGCTGGCAGCCTGGGCTTGCTCAGTCCTCCTGATTGTCTCTGAGGATTCTTCACAGGATTTCTCTTGGGTGTAGCATTTGGGCAGTGTCGATGGTGTATTTTGAGTTCAGACCTCATTCCTTTTTGTGCCCACATTCTTCTTACCCTTAACAACTTTAATGAGATGGAGATGATTTGGCCTGAAAATGATTCTAAATGTTATGTCAATGAGCATGAAGTTATAAAAGCCTAAAGAGAGGATGGGTCTATGTCAGCTTGCTTTCTGTTAGGGAAACATGCCCATACATGCACATAACAGAACCCACTATAGGGTGACATGCTACACACCATGTCGGGGTCCAGCTTCGACAGGGGAGTGGGTTTCATGAAGAAGGGATGTCTGGGAGGTGAAAGAGAGGTTACACAAAGACACAGATACACAAGGTTGATGCAAGCTGACGGGGAGACAGTTCTGCTGCAGACATTGCATGCAGAACTAGCTAAACCCCAGTCTTTTATTATCATGAAGGAGGAATTTGACACAAAAGAGAAAAATGAAAAAAATGTGGTGGTTCTTTTGATACAGGACACGATGATTCACAGATTTTATCTTAAAATAGTTTTCCAAGGGCATCATGCTTCTCGTGATAATCTAAAATCCTTATTTCCATATGAAAAGGTCAAGCAAGCTATTACAGATTATATATTGACTATGTGACCTAGGGTAGCAACCTGCGGTTTCTTAAAGGTGTCTAACATATTCTCAACACTTAATCACAAATGGGTGAAGGTGAGAGATTTAGAAATTTCATAAAAGGGCTAAGTTATGATTTCTGAAGAGACTCAAGCTGTTCTTGTATATTTTGCAAGCAGAAAATACAAGATTTCAGGCACTTGGTTTTATTTGTTTGACTAATAATCCTTTCTTCCTTACTTCTGTAGCTCCAGGGAAGGTGAGAAACAGGTTTTAACTTTTCTAATGAAGGTGAGGTTTCACCTCCACCTTCCTTTTCCTCGTTCCGGGTCCCATATCTAAATGCTACAATGTTTACTATACCCTCAGGGGGAAGAAGAGTGTCTGGATTAAACTGATTATACGCGGGGGGTGGCTTGAGGGGGCTGCCACTATTGTCCTTTAATCAAATATTCCCGGAATTTACCATTCCATTCCAATTGCAAATTCTGGGCAGTTTTTCTCCAAAACCTTTTCTCATAATCTCAATACACTTGTTCCTGCTTTTGCTGAGTCATTTGAGGAAGCTTTACTGCCTTAGCT